AACTTCCCCCCTGAACAGCTTCTCTGCTGCACCCCCGCGTCCTCCGTCCCGTCCGCGCCCTGCACAGGCCCCACAGCCGCCAGAACGGACTCGTACAAGTGCTCCGCGTGGGCTTCCAGCTCCTCTGACTGTTTTGCAATCAAACCCAGCGTGTCTCTCAGAGCTGGAAAACAAACCAGACGATGGAGGTGGGAGTAACACGACAATTCCATGTCTGTAAGAGCAACAGGAGAGAGTTCCACTCGCCCAGACAGACTTTTGAAGGACATAACAGAGCGTTAGGAATCAATAAGCTGATTTTCATCCCGTCCAAGCTGTGATGCAGAGTTTTGGGGTTTGGGGGGTGAAGTGACCTAGGAGGCTCCATGTTAAGAGTGAAGATACAGAAATAGGGGCTCAGAGGAAACCTCTGGGGCTGTGGAAGGAAGCCCAGCCACAATGCAGCACTTGATGGCTAAAGCCCCTTTGGTGACTGCAGACACAGCCCACCCTTAAGGAATCCCTCGTGCAGGATGCACCAAATCACCGGAGCGACGGCCCCACGTGTCCCACGCCACCAGCCAGGCTGGGCTGTGTCCCCAAACCCTCTCCTGACACTCCACCTGGGATGCAGCGAGCGCAAGCAGGGTGTGAAAATCACCTCCTGGGCTGGAGAGCAGCAGCTCCTCCCAGCTGTGCCGACAGCATCCCCCAGCCCAGCGGGAGCCAACGATGCTGTGGTTCAGATAAAAACCTACGAAGGGACCCCAAAGAGGCAGAAACACCCATCACCCACAGTGGACAGCACGGCGCAAAGCGAGGGGCAAAGCATGGTGCAGCTGAAAGCACAAGTCATCACTTCAAACCTCCAAGTCTCCAGGCAGCACCAGAGCTCTAAAACCCTTTTCATTCCCATAAAGCTGCTGAACAACAGCCTGTGCCCACCGCTTCCTCGTCCCCATGCGGGTGGGGCCAGGGATTCTGGGAGGGAGGCAGCATCACTGGTTGTGTCCAGGACCAGCCCCGCTCCAGCGCTCCTCCTCACCTGGTGAATTCGAGGCCATGCAGTCCAGGAGAGCTTCTCCCCTCTCCAGCACGCTCTCCGTCAGGCTCCGGTGCTCGGCCACGTCTTTCCTGAACTCCTGGGAAGGGAGGAGAAGAGAAGCGCTGCTGAGAAGGGTTTTGTGGAAGAGACACCCCTGCGGCAGGTTGCCCAGGGAGCAGGTTCCCGGTGTTCCCAAATTCAGCTTTGCACCCCTGATGCACCCTGCAGCACCCACCTGGACCACACCAGGGGTGCCTTGCTTCGTGCTGCTGGTACCACAGAGGAGGGAGGAAAGCCAGCGGTGAGACCTACCAAGTAGCGGCGCAGCGACGCCTTCGTGCCCTCGGCATCCGGCGAGGCCGGGACCCAGCTCTCGGTGATCTCCGCCACTCTGTACAGCCAACGGATTAACTCTTCCAGCTGGCAGCAAAACATCTGCTTAACCAAGCAGAACAGAAAGGGTTACTGAGCCACTTCTGTGACAAAGACAGCAGGGCACGCAAACATCCCTACACCTCAGAAACCAAGGGTCCATGGGAAAAAGAATTTAAAAAAATAAAGCAAAAAGCAAATTAAACCCTTAAACACACCCCAAAACCACTGTGGGGCAAGAACTGAGGGTCAGCGTGAAATGGCTGCTCCAGGGGCAGCCAGGCTGAAGGAAGGGGTTTGCCTCCACCAGCTCCCAGCCAAAGAGACACCCTCCTCCTCACCAGAGCTGCAGTTAATCGGCCATTGCCTTTCCCCAGGGGTTCAGCTCCTTCAATTAAGTGCTTTCATTTATTTTTAAAGTGTCTCAGTAAGGGATTATTTTTGTAAGATGCTGCATGAAACCCAGGGGGTCTCTGCTCTCACCAGAACCAGACTCCAGCCCTGCTCCTGCTCCTGCTCCTGCTCCTCAGGGGCTGGGGTTTTGCTCTAAAGTTGAGCTGCTTCTCCCTGGCACTGGGATTTGGGGCGACAGACACAGCCTAATGCCGACCCTTTTGAACGGGCAGTTACTCCCATACAAGAGGGGGATGAGTTGCACTGGTGTTTGCAGCTCCCTGTGTGATTAAATACTCTCCTGCATGGCTCCCAAATTCAGCCCGGGGCTGGGGCGGGGAGGAGGACGGAGGGGAAGGTGGTGGAGAGCAATCCTCACTGGCTGGGGGAGCACAGCACCGGTGGCAGGATGGGCAGGAGGCATCACTTGCCCCCCCAAAACAAATTCACTAAATAATCAGGGAAGTCTTCAGAGAAACCCCACCAGTTCTGCTGGGCCTTATGGTACCAGTAAGGAGGCCCCAGCCTGGGGAAGGTGAGCGAGCCCAGGCTGAAGGGCAAGGCTGGCCAGGCCACATGAAGGAGCTGGAGTGACGGGGTGGATTTCACGCTGCTCCAGCCCTGACCACGGCTCTCACATCGTCCCCGGTGCAGCACATTCCCCGAGTGCCACATTTCCCCACGGTGCTGGGCCCCAGGAAAGGCAGGATGGGCTCTTGCTCCATCAGAAGAAATTATGTGCTCTGACGAGCCTCCCTGCATCAGTCACTACCAGCTGCCAGGCACCACACATCAGGCAGAAGGGGAAGCTTTAATTGTGCTGTAAATACAGGTGTATTTCATGTGAGATCTTCCATAATAAACCCTAATTCTGGTCCCATCCTACCTTAACACACTGGGCGAGGGACTCGCTCTGCTGGCTCTTCTTCGGATGCCCCGTGACCCGCGGTTCATCCAACGTGTCCCCAGGATGAAGTCCCCGCAGAGGATCCCTATGGATCTGTCCACGTAACTCAGTGTTTTCCCAGATGGGCTTTTGAGAGCTGCAGGGGTGCCTCAGCCCAGCACCATCCTCAATGTTCCCCCTTTCAGCCCTGCCACTCGCTCCTCCGAAAGGAGCCAACTGGGATGGAAGGAGCTGCCTGTCATCCCTGTGGTGGTGGTCGTGCCCTGGTGTCCTTATAGTTAAGGACAGGCTGGATAAAAACTGAGCTAGCTTTTCCAGCTCCCGCAGTCTTGGAGGCAGGGAGAGAAATTCCTCATCGCCCTTTTTTTTTTTCCTCAGGGGAAGCACTTGTGTTGTAGGTAAAAACCTGTTGGTGGTTTTCACCTGCCCTTTGCAGCTCAGGAAGGGGCTCCCTCGGGTACACCAGCTTCTCCCATCCGCAGCAGGGTGGCCAAACGGGCCCAGCCCGGCTGATTCCCTCGTTACATCCTTAGCAAAGCCTCTGGGAGGATGAGAGGAAGTGCTCTGTGTGAAGGGTGCTTTTGCAATAGGTAAAGGTTCATAGTAGGAGCCGGCTCCTGAGCAGCCTCTTTTTCCAGGCCCTGGGGTGGAGAACCTCTCTGCAGAGGCCACAAACCTCCGATGGCCATTCTCTTCGCTCCCCCGAGCCTGCCCACCTTGGCCGTAGATGCTGGTGGATCTCAACGTGCCCTCGGGGGAAAAAGAAAAGCTGTCCAAACCTATTCCTGAGTCATGGAAGAAAGGCTCCGGCATCTTTCCCAGCTTGTACCTTGGCTTCAGGGGATAAGCATAATCCAGCAAGTCCTCGTACTCTTTATTGGGGTTCCAATGGGGTGACAGGCGGTTTGGAGACGGGGGTAACGAATCCGGTATGGCACACGCCCAGTAATCAGCTTGGTAGGACGACATCTCTCTGATGCGCTCCACGATGCTGTGGTCATCGAGCAGAGGACTGAAGGGTTGGTGCACCCGTGGCACGCTGCCTTCTGCCCCACCCCACCGGTGGCCCGCACCCCACCGGTGGCACGGGGCCCGGGTGGCAGCGGCGGCGGCCGCAGGAGAAGGCAGGTCTGCGCTGGCTGGCAAGCTCCGGGTCGGCTCTTCGGAGAGGCCGTTCTCCTCTGAAGACAGGGTGGAGAAGCTGGAGGCAGAGCGGCTCCGCAGGGCGGTCACGGGGCTGAGGGGGGTTTGGGGCCTCAGAAGCTCTGGGGTGGAGGAAAATGGGGATTGAGGTCCCAGCCCTGGGCTCTGCTGGCTGGCACGGGCACCCTGGCAGTTGCCAGCCAGGATGCTCTCCTCCGCAGAGCTGCGCCGGCTGGGAGGGCTGGATGCCGGCTCCCAACAGCCTGATGCCTTCACCTGCTCGAGGACAGGGGGGAAAAGGAAAAGGAGAGAGAGAAAGATACATAAAATGAAGCACAGCACCCAGACAAAAGGCTCCTTTGTGCTGGGACATGGTGACAAAAGCCCAGCCCTGGACCTGCCGTAAGAGAAGGCTGGAAGGGGAACTCTGCTCTGCCTGTGGGATGGCAGCTGCCCGGAGCCCAGAGTGGGGCTTATTTTTAAGGAAAGGCATCCTGAGGGCTTGGGAAGCTGCACGAGTCATTTGGCAGCAAGAAATACTTATTTAAGGAGCCTCATCTCGAGTGACTTTCCAGCTCTGCGCCAGCAATATGGGAACGGAGGCAACAGCTCAGAAACCCCAACCCTTCCCCACCACACGGCTCAGCCTGGGGCTGGGATGGGCACACGCTGGCTGGGGGAGATGGAAAGTCGCTGCTAGGACAGTCCAGACAAGTCCCCACCTCACCTGGGACCTCCCACAGATGCAGCATCACCTGTAGGTACAGCCCTCACCTGTAGGTACAGCCCTCTCACCTGTACATACAACTCTCACCTGTACGTACAACTCTCACCTGTAGGTACAGCCCTCTCACCTGTGCTAACAGCCCTCTCACCTGTGCTAACAGCCCTCTCACCTGTGCTAACAGCCCTCTCACCTGTGCTAACAGCCCTCTCACCTGTGCTAACAGCCCTCTCACCTGTGCTCCTGTAGGTACGGCCCTCTCGCCGGTGCTAGCAGCCCTCTCACCTGTACATACAACTCTCGCCTGTAGGTACAGCCCTCTCACCTGTAGGTACAGCCCCCTCACCTGCTGCTCTCCTGAGGAGAGGAACCGGTGGCTGACGTGACGAGGCACATCCTCATCTCTATAAATTAAAGCCTCCGTCTCCGAGACGCTTCCTCTTGCTCTGGGAGATCTGGATGCAGATGCTGAAGACACTTCTTGGCGGTAGCTCGAGCCTCCCTGGGTGACACCAGTGGCCAAGCCACTGCGTCCCCTCACTGCCACACTCTTCGTCCCCTGCGGGCAGGGCTTGGCTTCCTCTGCCCTTAGAAGCCGGCGCAGGCTGTCGGCGAGCTCCGGGTAGTCCGTCTCCACCTCCACAGTGTCCCACCTACCATCACCCTCAGCCTTCCTGCTCAGTGAGCCTTCAGAAAGTGCTTTTCCCACATCCACGGCCATCGGGATAGAACTTCTTCTGCAAGACGATGCCAAGCCTTGAGCTCTCTGAAACACACAACACACAGCAGTGACAACTCGCTGTCCCTCCCCGTCTCCACGCCAAGTAAAGAAATGGGGTATGTCTAATAACAAAGAGCTTCAGCTTGGTCTGCATCAGGCCCCCAAAATCATGAAGTTGCATCTTGGTGCATCAAGTGGAGCAGAGGAAAGAGCAAACCTTCATGTCTTAGCAGTGTTCTCTGGTTTTGAGGAACGTGACACACAGGGAAAATCTAGTTAAAGCTCTGGCTGCACTGAGAACAAGCCTGTGCTTTCTACCTTGCTGGCACAGCGCGACTGTCTCCTGAATTAATTGCCAATCTCACAAACAATTTGTGCAAGCAGGAGGTTACTGGGCCCAAATGAGACATCATTAACTAGGCTGTAAAGCACCTGTTAGCGTGGCTGAGCCCTGAAGGGTGGAAAGTTCCGGGGTTTTTAAGAGACAAACTCAAAACCTTGAAATGGAAGAGGCCCAGAAGTGAGCAGTACATCTAAAAAATGGGAGGGGGAGGTAGGAGGCTGTAAAACCCAAACGTGGCAGTTACTTAGCTCTGCAGCTTCTCCCTCAACTTGTGAAATTAAGTCTTTGTGAAATGAATTCATGGAAATACTTGCTCAAAGCTCAATTAATGAAATTAACTCTTTGTGAAACTAATGAATGGAAACACTTGCTCAATCGCCGACACGTTTTCAGGCGTGCTGTACAGCCAAGCACACCGCACCTTGCTGCAAATCCTTCTCATGTGAGACATTATTCCCAAAGCCTGAGCCCTGGGTGCTCCACACAAGATGTTCCACCACCACCACCACCCTCTCGCTGCCCACGCTGGACTCAGATGCTGCAGCAGGACAAGGAGATTTGAGCCAAATCAAGGAGATTCAATATATGGCACAGGGGAGACCTTGTTTTGTGAACACCAGCCAGAGCCGAGCACCTCGGCTTGCGTTCGCCAAGCTGGCGGGACTCAAAAAGACTCTGAACACAAATGACACCTCACAGAAACCAGCGCTGCCAAAATCCCCACAGCCCCGGCAATACCAAGCCTCTTCCAGCAGCTCCAGCCTGAATCCTGGTGCCAGCATTAGGAAAACAGCAGCAGAGTGGTTTTGCCGGTACCCAGTGATGGAGAGGCCAGCCAAGGGAGCATCAACAGCAAACTCAACTTCAAAAGAAATACATTAAAAAGAAGGAGGAGAGAAATATTCCCAAACAATACTTGGAAGTGGGAAACGAGTTGATACTCACACCCTCCATCAGCTCTTTTGTCACCATCTCATTTTATTACTGGTGATGGGGGTTTCCCCACGGGCAGAGCCCAGCAGGCGAACAGAGAGCAGCGACACAAGTCTCTGGGGGAGACCGAATCCCCAGCAGGAGCCGTGGCAGGCACCGCAGCTGCCTCCCCCTCCCCGAGAGCCGGGCAGCTATATTCAGCCTGGCAGCAGCTGTGGAGAGGGAGAGCAAAGCCTGGGCTCTCCCAGCCCTCCGTGCAGCCCTGTCCCTCCGCCGACACCTGCGCTCACCCACCTCATCGCTTACTCACCATCAAGTACAACCCTACGTGCACCAAGTGATCCTGAAATCAATGGTATTGCTTTTTCGCCCCAAAAAAAAGGTTGTATATCCAAATGAAAAGGCACAGTAACTGAATAAATGCAATCAATAAACTAATTCCCTACATATTATACAACAATGTATCATTAAAATGTGTATCAGCCTATATATTTTGTTTAACAGAAGGCAGATTTCTGATGCTGACAGAAAGAGTATCCCAAACCACTTGTCAATCCACGTGTGTTTCACACACAACTCTCTCCATATCATCATATAGATCTTTACATCTCTGAATTTAAACGGGAGGCAGCCCCCTGTTACCCACCTGCCTTCACCAGTTCCCGTTTGGTCCCTCTCAACTGGTTTTACTTAGACAATCACGTGAGCAAGGATTAGTGAGCTAAATGCCAAAAGGTCAAACCCCAACTTACAGGTGATTTAAACACCCAGAAAATCCCCCCTGAGATATATTTGTTTACCAGCTTTGAAAGCCAGGGCCTCAGCCACAAGGAAAAATGATGCTGGCAGGTTGGTTTCTGCCTCTTCCAACCAAAACCTAACGAGTAAAAAGCTGTCGGGGTGACGAATGGTGAAGTACCACGTATGAAATTCCAGGATCCGCTTCAGAGCCGCACAGCCTGCTTCACATTCACCTCGTGGGGTTTGGGTGATTCAGCAAGAGAACATCACTAGTTACCACGACACGAAGGAGCACCTCACCGGCTCTAATCCCTCCTCACACGTACCGGCAGCGCCGTACATCCCAAAATGATCCATCTCAAAATAAATCCTCAGGAGAAGAGGATGCTGGACATCTGCAGTTTGGGATATAAACACCTCAACAACCAGTTCTGCTGTTGAGTAGTGGTTTTAAACAATAGATAAATGAAAGAAAAGCTGAACAAAGCAGACTTTAAAGTTTTAAACCGAAGGTGCAGTAATTAATGATCGCCCTCGGGACCTCTTTATCGTTAAGAAGACGCCGCGTTAAATTCAAAGCGACGTCGCACATGGTTATTTCCAGTGACACACATTTCTGTGGTGCCATCAGTCTTTAAAAAAAAGGAGCAAGTGCTGCTTCACAGGTTCATTAAATCTCCAGAAATTAATCTGAAGCTAAAAAGAAAACCAGGAAACCTGCCAATACACATAAGTGAGAGGAAATCTGCTCATTTCAGGATTTTTAAAGCTATTCAAAGAGACACCAGAGATTTCACTGCATTTTCAAAATTAATTTCAGGAATTTCAATTGATTTCAACTAATTTCAATTAATTTCAGGACACACAATCACACTTGGATGCAAACTAGATGGGGAAGGTGAACGCACGTCCCCGTATGAAGAACAATCATCAGGCACAAAATTGTATTTAAAACCAGACTGAAAACACCAGTGCCACTAAGTGCAAATCCCAACTTACAAGAGCATCTAGAAAATAAAAGTTTCTCACCATTTTCCAACAAAACTGCAAAAATTCAGAGGTCGGGTCACCGGTGGTGGGGATGCATCAAGATTAACCCTCACGATGGGATGAAGCCAGCCCAAATCCTCGGGACACACAGCTACAAACAGGGCTGTACGACCACAGCTTTAGGCACCGTGGAGACTTTCCACTGGCCTTAAAAACACAGGAAATCAGCCAAAAATCCCGGCTACACCAGAGCCCTCCATTGTCTCTCTCACCAGCGGTGGGGTGGCACAGGAGGGGCCCCCGCCACTTTTTGAGCTCCGAGCTGAAGACAGGGGCTGTTTCATTCATTTCAGCGGGGTCAGGTCCAGGGGGAATCTCTTAGGAAAGCGATACCTGAACTTTTTGGCGTCGTCGGAAGGTGCCTGCCTGCCAAAGAGCCGCACAAAACCCCGGGGACAAGGAGAGCTCTGTCCCAAGGAGTGACATCCCAACGTCCGTGGGTATCGTTGGCGGGTGGACACACAGGAGCAGCTGATGCTGACACAGTTCCCACCTCCCACCAGCTTTGGTCTGGCTGGGGAGGGGGTATTTTTGGTTATTTTAGGGAAAAAAACCACACTGTTCTTGCCTTTTAGGCCTGCGGGATCTGAGTTTTGAATTTTTTCTTTCTAATGCTCTTTTTCTTGCACGCTTTCTGCCCGAAAAGCCTTTCTGCGGCTGAAAAAAAATGGCAGAT